GTTAGAAATATCATCATTATTGTTGTTAACAATGATTGACATAAAGACCAAGATTTGTCATATCAGTGAATATCACCAGAACAGATAAATAAACTTTCATTTCATATTCAAAACAAAATAGTAGATTCTATTTCAGTTTTAAAGAGAATGGTGTATATATACTGTAATATCGTAGAGTATGATATATAGGTACACAGTCACACACAAACACTTGTACCCATATGCTTGTATGCATGCACACAAGCGTGTTCACATACAATCACATGCACACACACACATGTGCACACAGATATACGCTTACGCAAACACACACACACACACACACACACACACACACACACACACACACACACACACACACACACACACACACACACACACACACACACACACACACACACACACACACACACACACACACACACACACCTAACTACTTACCTTTCTTAATCATAAGTCAGACATAAAGCTCTGCCTGCTTAGTAACTTTCATCTTTCTCAGGAGATGATGCAGAATCTGGGGACTCGGACAGCAGTGGCCCGCCTGGAACTGAGACATGCGCCATCTGCCTGGGAAAAATGCGCGGACAGGTTGGCTCTCCAGCTTCCTGTGAGCATACCTTCTGTCTGGACTGCATTTTGGAGTGGGCTAAGGTAAGATCTGGGTGGGATGTGTTGCTTATGAAAACTCGATGGGATTTGCAAATTCAGAGAATTGAAAATTTGAAACTTGGTGTATGTTTCTTTATGTGTGAGGTGTTTGATTGTAAGGGATATAAAAAAGACTAACAGAATATATAAGTTTGATTCAAAAGAAGGAATTCATGACATATATCAAAATTCCTGCTAAAGTTGAACATGCCAGTGATGTCAAAAAATAAATGAGTAACTTGTGCTAATATTCATAATGCACTATTTATGATCTTTTTTATGCAATCTATTGGCTTTCATATGTCTTTGCCAGCAGATACTTGTTGCACAATATTGATAGACATTTACCTGGTCTGATGAACATTGGATATTAATTGGATTTTTGGGAAGTATTTTACTTTTTGCTGTCAGTTAATGTGTGTGATTGAAGGATGTCCAGGGTGAGGCCTATATCTGGTAACTTGCCAAGATTGTGTAGTGGAAAATTCCCTTTGATACCGTGGTGCTTAGTAGGCATCACCGTATTCAAAAGATTAGAGCTATTTTGTATTATCCATACCTAATTTTCCTTCTTTTGTTGACTTACAGACCAATCCAACTTGTCCCCAAGATCGCATGGCATTTGAAGTTGTGCTTGTTCGAAATGCTCTCGGGGGCAGCATTGAAAAAGAGATTCCCGTCAGTAAACAAGAGGAAGAAGTGCCATTTATTCCAGAGGAACATCCAACTTACTGTGAGGTGAGCTTTTAAATTTTCTTGTTATTATTTTGTCAGAAATGGAGGCAGTTTCTTTTTCTTTTATATTGTTAGAGTTGGTATTAGATCCAGGACCCCCAGTTGATGCCAGAATCTGTAGATGTTCCAGTCCCATATATGTAAATTTGGAAATGACATTTAGGATAGATTTTCAGGTGAACATTATATTTATCTGAGAGCTTTAGTTGTGTTTTAAACAAATCTGACACTCATTCTCATCACTAATGTGTGGAAATTGCTGGTAAAAGTGAAAAAAATAGGTAAATAATGAAATCATGTGGCATTGTGATACACCTAAAACCTTTTTCTGGTGGGGTTGTCCCTTTACATCACTGGATTGGTGGTATATTCTGACAGGATAGAGTCAATAAAAATAAACCTTAGTGATTCACAATATATATGCTTAGTCAGAATGGAAAAATTCACCTGACTTCCCAGAGGTGATTAGCTAATACTGTTTTTGGAATGTGGTCTATCAGCTGGCAGGGTCAGATTCTTTAGTTTCTGTATAGGTGTTGTTTCCAATAATAACCACTTCTGTAGAATACAAAATTCTTGTATATAGGCAATGCACATACCCTTCTATATATTTTTAATAATTTCTAGATTATTTGTAATGTCTGATGTAATATAATTTGTATATAAATAGTTATATTACAGAATAATGATTAGAAAAATAAAGAACATTATGCCAGTTGATTATATTTCCTTTGAATCTGTATAATAAGCCAAAACTGTTTTGGAGGGTCATTCAGTGCATTGGCATTCAGTGGTTGAACTCAAATTATTTGGACACATAGATTAACTGATTTCCCAGGTATGTATGGACTGTAACTCATAGTTTCCAAACGGATTCCCTTAGGTGTGTAACTACTGTGACCGGGAAGAGAGGTTGCTGCTGTGTGACGGGTGCGACTTGGGCTACCATTTGGAGTGCCTAGATCCACCACTTACACATGTTCCTCTTGAAGAGTGGTTTTGCCCAGGATGTGTTGCTGCTGAAGTGCCAAGTGTTGTGAGTTCATGTGTACTGTTTTCCTCATGAAAGATGGCATGTACATATGTCATGGCAAGACTTTACTTTTTTCCAGGT